AAACCCCAAAACCCCAAAACCCCAAAACCCCGGTAAAATCTTCATTATTTCAAGTATTTGTATCTAATATTAACACCTCCTTTAACAGTCCCTTATCTCCACCCTTGTAACGTACCCCTATCTTTCCCCTCAAATCTGTCCCTCCAACCCCCAAACCCTACCTAAACTCAATCCCCTCGTCCCCCAGTTCCCCTAACCCCCTTCCTCCACCAAAATCTCCCAAATAATCCCACTTCATTACCTCTTTTCACTGCTAAAATCCATCCATCCTCAAAAACCCAGTAGAACAAATACCCAAAATTTATCATATTTCAGTAAAGGAGCCTAGCCGTATCAGGATAAGTTAGAGGAATACTAGTGAAGGCAGTATGGGGAATAGGGAGATAGAAGAGAAGAGGAATTTTGAAAAAATTTGGAATTTTGAGGATTAGGGGGGAGGATTTTTGGGGGATTTTGGGGGGTTGTGGGTGGGTGATGTATTGGGATTTTAGTATATCTGGTAGTTGGGGGTTTGGATGGGTAGTAGAAATTAGTTTTGATTCTAAGGGAGGTCTGAGATCAATAAGTTGGAAATCTTTCTTTCCTTCTTTGAATTCTTTTATTTCATCGAAAAATGTGATAAACTCTTTGGGATCTTTTAAGTCTTCAATAATCGTCTTCTCTCCAGTATAGGTTTTTCCTTCTTCGGTTGGATATCCATCTGCCAAGTATTTTCGTAGGCTACCATCTAAAATCTATGTATCGAGCCCATACTTTGATAAAATAAAGTGAGCTCTCGTTGCTCCAGAGAATTTTCCTGACTGATTGTAGACAACAATTTTATCATCCTTTTCAATTCCTGTTTTCCCAAGAAGATCTCTCACAATCTCCAGAGTTGGAAAGCTGTTAGGTAAACCAGTGGAAACATCCTAGGGCTCGCGTTGTAAGTTGATCCACCTTGCTGTGGGAATTGCTTTCTCCTTAAATCCTTTCAAACAGCTGTCTTCTCCTTCACTCATATCAATGATCTTAAGTTTTGGATGAATATCATCTTTAAGATGGTATGATCCAGCAGCCTGTCCTGGTTTAGGATCCTTAAACAATTGCTTTGTTCGTTCTTTAGTGCTGACAATAGAAGCTCTTGACTTAACAATTTGTGAGTTTACTGAACCCATATTACTATTAATTTTTAATATCTTATCCTTTTTATCAGGGGTTTTGGGGTTTTGGGGTTTTGGGG